GACTTTTCAGTTTAGAAAAGAGGAGACTAAGGGGGGATATGATAGAGGTCTATAAAATCATGAGTGGTGTGGAGAGGGTGAATAAAGAAAAGTTATTTATTAGTTCCCATAATAGAAGAACTAGAAGACACCAAATGAAATTAATGGGTAGCAGGCTTAAAACTAATAACAGAAAATTCTTCTTCACACAGCGCATAGTCAACCTGTGGAACTCCTTGCCAGAGGAGGCTGTGAAGGCTAGGACTATAACAGAGTTTAAAGAGAAGCTAGATAATTTCATGGAGGGTAGGTTTAAAACTAATAAAAGAAAGTTCTTCACACAGCGCATAGTCAACCTGTGGAACTCCTTGCCAGAGGAGGCTGTGAAGGCTAGGACTATAACAGAGTTTAAAGAGAAGCTAGATAATTTCATGGAGGTTAGGTCCATAAAAGTCTATTAGCCAGGGGATAGAACTGGTGTCCCTGGCCTCTGTGTCAGAGGCTGGAGATGGATGGCATGAGACAAATTGCTTGGTCATTGTCTTCGGTCCATCCCCTCTGGTGCCCCTGACGCTGGCTACTGTCGGCAGACAGGCTACTGGGCTAGACCTTTGGTCTGACCCAGTACGGCCGTTCTTATGTTCTGGGTCCCATTGTGGGTCTACGTTTGTGTAAATTAGCCCAGCACCACTAGGCCAGGACACTCAGGCTACGTCTACACTGCAGGATTTTTGCGCAAGAAGTCTTTTGTGGAAGACAGTTTGCACAAAAACTTCTTGTGCCGAAGCACGTCCACACTTCAAAGTGCCTCACTTTCGCGATGTGCATTTGCGCAAGACAGCGTCTACACTATGTGGATGCTCTTGCACAAGAAAGCTCTGACTGCCATTCACAGAATGGTTAGGGTTAGGGCTTTTTTTGTGCAAAAACCCTTCTGGAGCGTCCACAGCAAGAGCTGTAGTGCAAAAAGGAGTTATGCCTCGTAGAAGGTGGTTTACCTACACTGCAAAAAGCCCTCTGTTCTGCAGTTTTACCGTCTATTTCCTTGCACAAAAACACACTTGAGGTGTGGAAACTCCCCCGGGTTTTGTGCAAAAACCTTGTTGTGTAGACGTAGCCACAAAGCAGAATCAAGAAAGCCAGGAACAGCTTCGGGAGCTTAAATACAGCCTGAAAACCATCCAAGTACAACGCTAAAATCAAACGCAGGGCTCATTAGAGTGGCACGCTTCCAACACTGTGTTAGAGTGCAGAATGGTGGGGAACGAAAAAGTCCGAATCTCTTGATTCCATATAACCTGCTTCAGAAAAACCTTCCCTATCTTTTGGCCCAGATCAATATCAAACCAGCTAGTTCAGGGGTGGGCAATAATTTTTAAAAGGGGCCACTTCAGAAATTTCAGATATCTGATTTGTGTCCATTAATTATTTCCCATAGAGACTGTCCAGTTTGGCCAATGTACATGGCAGAAAAAGCAATACACAAAAATGTGTTGGAGAATACTTTAATCTGCCTGGACACTTGTGAATGGACCTCCAAGTCATTGTTTCAGGCCAATTCCCCAAGCCACATACTCCTTTCGAAAGAGGCTTGTAGTCTAGACGTAGCCCTTTCATGCGCATATGCTAATGGCATGAACAGGGACATTGGCTGGTTCTCACAGTACCTTCCACATCTTAATGACTTAACCAAACAAACAATGGAGATGCTAATTGTTCTTATCAGCCTCTTATAACTACTTGAAACATCTATTCACTGTCTGTCTCTCTCTTTTCCCCCCCCTTTTTCTTCCCTCTCCCTCCCTTATTTATTCTTGGATCCAGACTTCTCCAGTCATCTGAAGAAGTGGGCTGTGCCCACGAAAGCTTATGAAACCATCTACATGTTTTGTTAGTTTTTAAGGTGCTACTTTGTTGTTTTTTAAGTTCTTCCTGTTACAGACTAACTTGGCTATCTCTCTGAAGCTTTTGCCTGAAACAGATTGTTACAGACTAACTTGGCTACCTCTCTGAAGCTTTTGCCTGAAACAGACGGGAGCGGCGAAATCAGAGGCATGATGGATATGTACCAGCTAACCAAGCAGCGCTCAGGGCCAGCTCTTGGCTTTGCAGAGTCTTGAGAGACACCAGACAGACCTAAATGATTCCAGAGAACTGGGAGACGGAAGACTGGAAGCAGGACGCAAATACAACTGCTTCGATCGGGGGCGCTGATCCAGACCCATTGCCTCATTTCCTCCTTTCAAGTCCATCCCACTCTCTCTATCCGTACATGCAAATGTCACAGTCTTCTGCATTCGGGACACGAGTGTATCTTGCACAACACACTGATACAAGGAGTCACCTCAGTCCCACGCCTGGGTTCATAAGAACGGACATACTGGGTCAGACCAACAGCCCATCTAGCCCAGTATCCTGCCTGCCGACAGTGGCCAATGCCAGGTGCCCCAGAATCCTCACACGATCCCTCCTCTCTGTCACCCACCTCCAGAGAAACAGAGGCTAAAGACACATTCCTGTCCATCCTAATAGCCATCTAATCTCCATGAATCTATCTAGCTCTTTTTTTAACCCTGCTAAAGTCCTAGCCTTCACCACATCCTCTGGCAAGGAGTTCCACAGGTTGACTGCATGCTGTCAGCATTGAAAAACTTCCTTTTGTTTGTTTTAAACCCACTGCCTATTAATTTCATTTGGTTCTTATATTGTGGGAATAAGTAAATAATTTTTCCATGTTGACTTTTTCCACACCAGTCATGATGTTATAGACCTCGATCCTATCTCCCCTTAGTCTCCTCTTTTTTAAGGTTCCCCAGATCCATTACGTGGCAATGCACCACTGCCAAGGTGGGTGGGGAGTGGGCAAAGAGCAGCGAACTGCAATCAGGTCCTGGGGGAAGACTTCTTCTGTGCCTGAAGCCAGAAGCTGATGCAGGCTGCCACCCTGCTGGATCAAAGGGGAAGTGCTGCTGGGGAGTGTTGCCAGCTGGTTTGGTTCCCAGCTTCTTATGCAATCTGCTCCCACATCTGGCCCAGTATTAAGTCGCGCATTGTAAAAAACTCTCACAAATTACACTGCATTTCCTGCTCCTAAATTTACCTTTGATTTTGAAGAAATAAGCACTGAGGCCAAAAGAACCAGCCAACGCCACCAGGACTACACACGTCACCACGATCCAGGGATTCACCCTGGGGAAAAACGGCTCTGAAAAACAAACCCCCAGGGGACACACGTTACTTTGGGAGCAGGGACAAATGGCAAATGATTCTGTTTCACATGATGCCAACCCCAGCAGGATGACTCAGAAACAAAGGAAGAAATGACCCCACTAGCACTGCATAAAACACCAGGAACACACGTGAAAGGCGTTGCCAGCTAAGACAGTGATCAAATTTGGACACTGGGGCAGAAGTGACCCTGGTTTGGTTCCCAGCTTCTTATGCAATGAGAGGCAACACTCTCTAGTCCAGAGGCTGGAAATAATTTTCACAGGGGAGGGGATATTTAACTTTTGTGCTGGTTAATGGCTGGCTCCTCCCCGGGAAGGGGCGGGGCCTGTGTAGAAGTGACAGGGCTGGGGGCTAGAGGATATTTAACTTTTGTGCTGGTTAATGTCTGGCTCCTCCCCCGGAAGGGGCGGGGCCTGCGTAGAAGTGACAGGGCTGGGGGCTAGACTTCCTCTACAGTTGTCTGGGGTTCGAGTCTTTGAATGAAACACACAGCAAAGGGCTCACAGCTCCTGGCACCGCTGCTATTGCGTTGCCTGGCAGCCGCCTGGGGTTGCTGCAGCTATTTAAAAGGCTTGTGGCTCTGGCCTCTGATGAGGTAGCACCACAACCGTGAGCCATTTAAATAGGAACCTGCTGCCTGGAAATTTGGTGGCACAGGCAGCAGGATATAAACAGAAAGTATCCAAATGGAGTCTGTGGGCCGGATCAGAGTGTTAAAGATCTAGAAAATATGCTCTATGGGGGATGTATGAGATGTATGAGAAAAATTGGGTTTGTTTAGTTTGGAAAAGAGACAACAGAGGGGACATGATAGCAGCTTTCAAGTACTTAAAAGGCTGTTACAAGGAGGAATGAGAAAAATTATTCTCCTTAACCTTGTGTAAGTAGAGTCAGGATGAGCTCTACCCTGACATCTGGTGGTGAACTGTGGTGAGTTGTGCAAAAAGACTTCAGGGGCTGATCTTGTTTGCGTAGGAACATCCACCCCGCCTACTATGAGCTCACAACAGCCCAAATGGTCACTTTGGCTGCTGTGGGATCCCCAGTTTCTCTATTATTTAGGCAGGGAGAATAAAGTGTTACCCTGATTATGTAAATCAAGGAAGTGGAACTGTTTTATGACCGAGGGATTCGCCATCAACTAAGTAGCACTCGATAGACCAGGGACATGGGTTCCAAACCCAGCGAAGTGAGAGAGGCTGGGAATAGGTATTTGTACCTGGTGGTGGGGCCCCTTTCTGAGGGCCTGAAACACCAAGGCTACGTCTACACTGGCGTGATCTTGCGCAAAAACTTTCGCACAAGAGTTCTTGCGTTAAAGTAGTTGCACAAGAGAGCGTCTACACTGGCATGTGCTTTTCTGCAAGAGATGTGCTTTTGCGCAAGAGCATCCATGCCAGTGGAGACGCTCTCTTGCGCAAGACAGCTCTGATGGCCATTTTAACCATCGGGTTTTTTGAAATTCATGTTGCCTGAAACCTCATTCCAGGAGGAATAACAGGTAGTT